AAGGCCCTGAGTCTGTGGGAAAATAAATATTTTAAAATGCAGTGGGTTCAGATTATTGCATTTGTATTTAATCGCCTCTGTTCCACAAAAATAAAATAGAGGACGGTAAAAAATGGAAGATAATTCAGAGGAAAACACTAGTTAAATAATAATGGGATGAAATAAACTAACACACCGTAGAAGATTAAAGGACGTCAATACATAGTTTTCCTAAGGACAAACAAATAAAAAGTATAGGTGTAATTATTTGAAAGGTGACTATCAAAAACAGATTAAAAAAATAATAAAGGCTTGTATAATACTTAAATTCAGCTTATCTGGAGCAAAACTATTAGATCAAGTGTGCAGACTCTAAGGCTCAATACGTTTGAGATAAAGGTTTGGGGCTGATCTAATTGAACTAAATAGCACAGTAGTCCCCCCCAACAATCCATTGGGGGGAGGGCGGGTACGTCTAAGACACCAGTGGATGCCTAAAACCAGGAATGGAACCAAACCCTATTAGACTGTGTTTTGTCCTGTACAATCATACCCATGATAAGGTTTTCTTTACAAATTAGGCACACTACAAGATTAACAACAATAACTAATAATAAAGTAGAACCATTATAACAATGTACTGTAGTAAAAGTCATGGGCATGGGGTCTCTCGCCCAGGACCTTGTCCTGTATTCGCCCTTCTTCTTGTGATGATGTGAGATGATAACATGGCAGTGAGCGACGTAGACGTTGGGACACGGTGCTAGGCCACTACTGACTTTCTGGCGCTGTGTCAGAGGAGGGTCCTCTGCTCTCGGCCATGTTTGGGTAACTGAACCCATGCCTCTGGGGGGGCACTCCTGTACTACCAAAGCATGAAGAGAGGCGACAGAGCGCTCTCTTTCAGAGTTTACTGCATGACCTCAGGGCCATCCGAGATGTCACTCCCACAGCCCCAGAGACTCCTTTCCATCTCCGCCCCTGGCCACCCTCCTCAGCCCAGCCCGGTTCCTCCAGCACACTCCCCAAACACGTTCACACACTCACACATGCCCTCACACACTCACGCGCGCTGGCACACAACCTCACATGCAGACACGTAGCCTCACACATACACTGACACACCTTCACACTCATGTACTGTCACAAATCCCCTCCACACTAACACACCGTGAAACACACACACTCGAATGCAGTCACAGACTCACCCGCTGACACACACAGATATGCACTCACAGATACCCCACACCGGCAAACACACATTCACACATATACCATCACACACACACTGACACACACACTGACATGCACACACGCCCTCCCCTTCTTCGTGCTAGCCCTGCAGATCCCTGATCAGATTATTGCCAAGTTGCTCAGCCTTTGCCACGGCTCTTGGGTCCTACGGGCCAAGCCAGCAGCCCTGCGGGGCACCACGTACTAGATGCACCTGCCCCCCTACTTCCAGAGTCTAGAATCACACACAACAGAGACTGTGTTTTTCATGCAACCCCAGCATGGTGCCGGGCTTCTAGTGAGTTCATAGTAAATGTCTGTTAGAAAAAAAAGTGAACTTTTCCTGATACCTGAATTTCAAGGGTGTCTCTCTCTCTCTCTCTCTCTCTCTCT